ACCCTCCGAACCTAGTCAATTTCTACAAAGGCCTTGGTGATCTATCCCACCTCATTTGGATAGATGGCGACTCCATCCATTTTGGCACGTCAACAGTTTTGGCGACTCCACTGGGGACATTGAGGGGTCAAGCTATTTATACTTTAATTTTGGGGTTTTGTCAATTACTAACTTTTGTTTTGTAGGTGGCATGGAGTATCTTGTAAGTTTTTTTTATTTTGTTAGTTTATTTAATATTTTGTTATTTTCATATGTTAACTTAGTGCATACTCCCTCACACACCTCACTTGCATATCATTTTTGTCCTTGATGAGGTGAACCTGACCTCTAGATAGATGGATAACTTATGGAGCAATGAAAAGCGCAATGCTTTCTTTGTGAAGTGAGATTTATCCCTTTTAGGTTCATTTTGTGGGTTAATATGGCCTGACAGCCATAATGCTGCTGCTATATTAGGTCATGAAATGCCTCTTGTTAACTCTATAGAAGTTGGCAATTATTGACTTTATGGAAGTCAATAATTGTTGACTTATGGAAGTTAGCAGTTGAAAAGCCTAATCGTATAGGATCCACTAGGAAACCGCATGTAATGGATTTAGACAAAACTTAACCCTAGGACGGCCAGCCTAGTAAATCACCTTCAAAGTCTAAGAACCTTATACATAGGACACATTGGGAGTATTTTATTTTTAAACAATGATCTTGTGTTTCTTAGGTGAGGAATTCGACCAAGAGGTATGACATTCGTTAACTCTTCTTTTTTTTTTTTTAATAGGTAATTGATTATTTTACACATGGATTCTTTGGAGAAAAAGAACGGTAAGGGAAAAAGGGTGAATTTAGAGTTAGAATGTCCACCATTATCCAAGAAGAACAAGTCACACAAGGATGGATTCTCTGTGCAGACCAAAAGACCTTGTGTAAAAGACTTGGTTGCTGCTTGGAATAGTCTGAGTAATCTTGAAAAAGTGAGGTTTGACAAGAAATTTGGTAGAATTGCTGATGTGTTGCAAGTAGAGCCGGATTGGGAAATCATTAGGGCAAGCCTAAGATTTTATGTCCTGCATCTTCGTTGCTTTGTTTTTCCTGAGTTTGAGTTGGCACCTACCATTGAAGAATATTTTCAGTTATTATTCAGTCGCCCAGAAATGAGTTCAGAAGTTTATGTCCCAGACCCTGTTAACTTTCAATTAAATAAGTTGCAATTTCAGTCCATACTACAAAGGATTTTGAGCTTTCCTTTAGAGTTCACAGAAGGTTGCATTATGAAGAAAAATGAAGTTTGGGGAGTTAATTGGAACATGATGTATCCCAAATTAAAGCTTGATCTAAGTTCACTTTCTGAGGAGGACCGGTTAAATTTTGTTGCCTTGGGGAGATATGGAATGGTTATTTTGCCCACTAATATGGACAGTATTAGTTCATCGGTTGTAACCATGTTCGAGCAGTTGATCAAGAATCCAAATCTTAATGTTGCTCCGGTTTTAATTGCTGAAACTCTACGTGATGCTGACTATATTCGAGCTCATGGCAAGGGTAGATTCACATGTTCTGCTGGTTTGTTTACAATATGGATACATGCACATTTGTCAAAGGTAAATGTCTCCACAATTAGGGAGTTTGGGATTTTGCAAAAAAAGAATCAATTGGAAAAGAAAATGGCTGACCAATGGCATCAACAATTCTTGAACTTGAGATCCGAAGACATAGTCTGGTGTGTGACATGGTTGAAGTCTACTGATTACTTTTATCCTCCACGTGGCCATAACTGGATCCCGTTATTGGGCGTTCAAGGAGCTATTAGCTATAGTTCAGCATTAGTGATGAGGCAATTTCATGATAGGCAAAGTAAACCATTGCTAGATGGTATCACTTCATATGGGTTTGATTATTCTCTTGATACTCAAGTAATTAATCAAATTGGCTTTGCCAAGGAAGTATGGTCACAATGTGAAGTTCGTTTCTCAAGGAACAAGATTTCAATCACTTCTGAGTTTGAAGAATGGAGGAAAGTTTGGCTTCAAGACATAGTTATCCCTTATGACATTCCTATCATTAAAGAAGCTATCATTGTGGATTTGAAGAAAAGAATAGCGAAGCTAGAAGGTTTGTCATGTGCTCAAAGGGTCAAGCATGAAAACGAAATTAGAGAAAAAAATATGGACATTTATTTTCTGGAAGGTGAAAAGCAAAAATTGATTAAGGAAAAGAATTCTATAACTTTTGAAAAAGAGGAGGCAGAGAAAGATATCGTCAAGCAGGCTCAAACTCTTAAAAAATTAAGAAGAATCATCCAGAAGGAAGAAAGGCAGAATGATCATTTAATGAGTGATAAAAACAAGTTGGAGGATGAGCTCAATCAAGTCAAGGATCAGAGTGCCGATTTAAAGACTATAATAAACCAGTAGCAAGGTGAGATTGATCGACTTAAGGGTTTGAAAATGAAGTGGAGAATTTGCTTGATAATAAATTACAATTGTTGCAAAAACTTGAGGAAGCTCAAAATAATGAAGAATTGATGAAGGAAAAAGTGGCGTTAATGCAAACACGACAATTTTATCAAAGTGAGAAGATAGGAGGATTGGAAGCAGAGGTAGGAAGCTTAAATGGACAGTTGGGTGAGGCATTAGCTACAATTGATCAATTAAAGAGAGAAGGAGGAAAGGTGCTCTATTTGGTCAATGGAATTTACTCTGAGGCAATGAAGGTTGAGCATACTATTCCACCAAATCAGCATGATGCGGCTTCAAATTTTGTGGAAGGGCTTTCAAGGAGGATAAGGGATTATTGTGGACATGAACTTGAAACAATAGAGTATTGGAAAAACAAAGGAAAGTGAAAGTTTATGATTGTTATCCGCTAGTTGTTATATTCAATAAAAGAATAAAGTTTGAAGTCAAATTTCACATTCTCTTGATTTTTATTTGTTGAAAAAAAGCAAGTTCCTCAATAAAAGAAGAAAAGATATGAAGGAGGCAATCTCCTCATTATTATTTTTACTTGAAAAAAAAAAAATCCTAAAAGATCATGAAGGGGGCAATCTCCTCATGTTTTTGGTTGCCGTGACAATTGCTTGGCTCTAATTTCTCATTTCCTTTACATACAACGGGCTGAAGTTGTTCTTGACAATGAAGAATCCATGTGTAAAAATAAAAATAATAATTAGAAGTTAGGTTTACTCATTAATGGGAATTTTGGGAACTTATCTTTTAAAAAAACCAATTAGTTAAATTCATAATTTGTTACTAATGCTCATATTTTTCAGGTGTTGAAAGATTGGTCCTAAAAAGAATTATCCAAGAGTTTGTTCACCTATTCGCACTAGAGCTCTTGCAAGGAAAATGGCAGACGAAGCTAATTTAGAGAAGGTAGCTCTGGAAAATCGTGTGGAAAATATGGAAAATACTTTGAAGGAATTGATGGCTTCATTCCAATCTCTTCAAGCAACCTTAGTCACAAGGGCACCTTCGACAACAAATCCCTTGTTTGAAGGAAATGTTTCTGTGGCAAATCTCCCTATCACCACATCTACTCTTGGAAAGGAGCCAATGTCATCTTGCCCTCCGGATCCAATTATTGGTGGAACTTCTAGGACAAAACCATTTGTTCTAAATGCTGGTGTTGCTACAGTTCAGTCTAATGGTCAAGAAGAGATTCAAGTTGTCAAGTCAATCACAAAGGATGAAGACAAGGCAACTAAAGCGAAGGTGCAGTTGATGGAGGAAACACTAAATTCGATGCAAGGTGTCCAAACCAATAAACCGGTTGACATCTCATCTTTGTGCTTTTTCCCAAACATTCAATTGCCCCATAAGTTTAAATTGCCTGAGTTTGATAAGTACAATGGCACTGGTTGTCCTTATGCCCACTTGACGATGTACTGTAGGAAGATGGCTCCTTATGCTAATGATGAGAAGCTAATGATACATTACTTTCAGGACAGTCTGATAGGTCCTGCAGATGCTTGGTTCTCTACTTTAAAAAAA